CGCTGTTTCGCGATACCACCGGCCACCTGATATCCTGCCGCGGAATCGAGCCGCCACCGTTGCCGTTGCGTCAAACGATTAACGGTTCATTCGCGGAGAATGGAATGGCGATTGATTATTTTAAGGGGAGACAAAGTACAAGAGAGACTTCTCATTTCGCGCTGATCGGTAATCGTCGTGTCATTCGAGCTGGTTGTTCTTATTCCAAAGGGAATCTATATTTTTCACAAAGTTAAATGATATAAAGAGATACTCGTAAATATGATACAAAGAAGGGATGATCATTTAGGAATAATTAAAGAATATAATAATTTAGGAATTAAATATGTTTTGTGGTATCATGGCAGACAATAATAAAACCAATTAATGATGTTAAAAATGCATGAAAATTTGGAAAAATCACTGCGCGCAAAATTGCAAGGAACGCAATAGAGAGGAATTATCTTTATTTTTTTCTTTTTAATATGTTTTTTTCTACGGTAGATTTTTCCTTCTGTAAATTTTCCCTCGTAAATTTTGTTTCACCTATCTACGAGCTTTGATCTGAACCGCGCTCAAGTTTTAATATTGGCAAGGAATGCCAAAGGCTAAAGAGACACGCGGAGGCTGCAACTCATTCGCCGATGCCGACTAATTAGCGGTCTGATCGAGAAAGGCTAATGGAGGTCATGTTCAAGTCATGGAACGCTTCTTGACTTCTAGTCTCGGTAGTTCACGGATATACCTGAGGTAGGTAGTTAGTAGCGTGTAATAAATGCCCGACCATCGCGCTCCGTTATACAAGTCGAGTACAAGTGTGTAAACGTGTAGCTCGCTAATAGCGATCGCGAGATTCTCGCTGCTGGCGATTCACTCTCTGTAATTTCGGCTCAAATCGACATGTAAACTTAATAATAAGCAATATATAATATTCGCCGCACAAGCAAAAATCACGAGAAAAACGATATTTCCTAAATACGAAGAAAATTCTTATGTAAATCTTGTTCTTCTTATACTACCACTTTGTTCATTATTTTATCCATCTGCTTTATATTAATACGGTTGCTTTTTTTTTTATCTTCCTGACAAAATATCTTTTATGGAAATGAATATTTTACCAATGAATAAAGTAAATTCATTTTCATAAAACATATATCAGAATATCGCAGGTCTTGGATAAAAGACCTGCGATATACTTCGAAATTATTTATTAGAAATTTATTTCTGTAGACATGATGTAACATTGATCAATTTAATATTATAGCAGTTTAACATATATCCACGACATGTCAGAATTTTTAAATACTTCGTTTTATCAATTTTCGTTTCAATACCAAAAACGTCATACCGCATAGAAGTATGACAAATAGGAAGACAACAAAAACTTCAACTTGTATTAATAATAATTGTACAAAATGTAATCGCTTGTGATGTGTTTTCAGCATTTAAGGGAAAATTCAAATCAACGTGAAAAGGGGTAAAATTACGACGTAATAACATATTAATCTTATCGAATTCTCAAACAAATCTAAATGTGAATAAGAACAAGTATTCACGCGTAAACAGCTAAAAAGCTTCAAACTCACTTTACGCGATGGTTTGCACGCTTGATCTTTCTCTCTCTCTCTCTCTCTCTCTTCCTCTCTCTCTCTCTCTCTTCTCTCTCTTCCCTTCTTTGTTGACCCAATACATTCCCGAGATTATACGGTTTAAGGAACCTCGCGTGCGTGCACGTATGCACGAATATGCAGGTGCACTTAGCTTCCTGATGCCGCGGGCGTCGTTCCCGATGTCGGATGATGCCTCGGGCGCGCTTTACCCTCGAGATTCCTTTCCGCATGGAGAGGAGAAGCGTTCCTTGGGATTTCGCATTCTTTCGCGGGGACCTAGCTTTATATGCGGAGAACTCGTCTCTCGTTGTGTGGATTTTTTAACGGTAGTTTAAAAAAAAAATATGCGCTTGGCGCAAGCACATGCCATAAGACGCTCCACTTTTGGGACAAAAACGGATTAAAAAAAAAGAGTTTCTTCACCGCCTACGATTTTTCATACCACGCGTATGATATGAAGAAACTTTTAGTAATCGAATAAAAAAGACATTGAATCGATAAATTAAAATTGACATTATTAGGATTCTCGCAGATCTTTATATTAATAATTTTCAAAGCGTTGGAAATGAAAAATATATTAAATAAAAAATTCCTTTTTTTAATGAATCGGATTTGAAAGAGATTAATATAATTTATGCAGAAATTATAATAAGAATTTTTTTTTTAAATGGAAATTTCAATCAGAAATGTGTATGTATTTTATATAATCGATTGTCATCACAATTCAAGACATTCTTTGACATATAAATATTTCCGTATAAAATACCAGCGGCGAAGTTAAGAGCAGTACAAAAGGCGCAAAACGGAACTCGAGTTACGTCGCGTAGGTGTAGACACGAAATAAATAAACTTTTCGGCGCTCTTGCGGTGAGGTCTCCGCTACTTTTTCCTTCCTTCCTCTCACATATTTCTGCTGGTTTCTGCCGATTTTTGCCATTGTTGGTTCTTCTGCGCAGTAGCTTTTCTGTCGAAAATAAACTATTTTGTTGCCGGTTGCGGTAAACTGTGTTTAGGTATACGTTAACCATGAATTATCTAGAAAACGTTTCAACTATACTCGTTTTTCGTTAATTTCGTTACCACTATAATTGCTAATTTGCATATGATGAGAAATGAATTCTCGGCGAAACAATTATGTGAAATATAAATAAAATCCCTTTGAATATAATTAACAAAACTTGCCCGTATTTAACGTGTTATTTATTTCGTTATGCAACATTATTTGTAAACGGTTGTATTGTCTGACATAAATTTACTCTGATATTTTAAACACCTGTGAACAGAAAAGCAATTAGTGCATCGAAATAAATGAAAACTGACGCATCTGTGGAATGCTTCTGATTTAGGAATATTTCCGATGCCGTATGTACGCAGAGAGAGATGTATTTCACAAAAAATCAACTTATTCGTTATGCCGTTCACCGAACGGGTGGACGTGAAATTGCAACAATTTCAAATTCGTGTACTATTCCTATGTCGAATATTTTTCGAAAAATTCGTCAAAGCGATGAATTATTCCACACTGTTTTTTTTTTATAGACTAGCAGTAAAAAAAAAAGATTGAAAATTGCAAAAACCAATCAAGCGTAAATTTGAATTATTTCAATTAAAAAGATACAATAAAATGCACACAGACATTGCTAGCAAAACTTTGCAATACTTTGATATTTTATTTTAGCTAAGCGATATCTAACAATACCGCATAACAATTTTTTTATTTTAATGATATTAATTTTTGCATTGAAAATGCATATTAGCAATTATTACATAAGTTATTTCTCTACTATTTATGAGAAGAAAAAATATCGAATATTGATTCTCACTAAATTTAAGAATTCTAATAATATTATGAGTTAAATTTATATAGTCTTACTCATTACATGTATTAATGAATATAGAAGCTAATTCCTAGGTGGAAATTTTACTATTCTATTTTAAAATCTATTGGCAGATTATTTTTTTTTGTCAATCTAATTTATGTGGCTGAAAACTTATTTCTGTCCAGCTGTGTCTACAACTCCCTAATAAATCTATTTATATATCGTTGTTTTATACAGTTACTTTGTAAAACTTACATATTCGACACAATTTCGTGTTCATGAAAAATTTTTCTCTTCGTGATATAAGCTAAATTGACTATTTCTTTTATATATATATATATATATATATATATATATATATATAATTAATTTTAAATCTCATTAGTTTTGTTCACGTATTGCTATACAAACCTTCAATTTAAATCGCTAGTTATTTACTGCTTTTTCTTTATTAATAAACTATAATTCCAATGTACAATTTAGCAAATTACAACAATATAATCCGATTTATTCTTTATTTTATTTACTTATTATCTATTTTTGGAGCGAAGAAAAATTCGTTATCTTTAATTTTTCTATATATCTTTTTATCTGATTAAAATAATCGAGAGAATTAATTTTTTTAATATAAAAGTCTCCCCCCTATTTTAATGCCTAAATGAACGATCAATCTTTTTAATTAAACAAAATTAAACGAAGATATTATCGACATGTGTGTGTATGTGTGCGTGTGTGCGTGTGCATGTGTGTCATTCTGATGTAATTCAGAGGAATATGCGCTTACACATATTTGATATATACGTGCAGATACAGCTGTCTTATAACTCTCCACGCTTTCCGAAGACGCTTATAAGCGTAACCGCAGACTGCTGCTCACCTCGCAACTTATAACGTGCCGATTTCACCGCAGAAACGTTGCACGTGTGAAAGTCAGGACGTCCGGTTTTTCGAAAGAAAAACTCGCGCACGGACATAATTATAACGGTTCGCTCTCTGACGGATTTTTTATTATAAATCATTCTTGTTCAGCGAACATACGAAAGTAAACCTTGGATTTTTTCATATAAACATTTCTTTATTCAGTATTTTTTAAGCGAAATACAGCTTTTTAGAGAATATGAGACAAATCTCAATGAATAATTAATTAATTAAAATTATAATTTAATAAGAACAGAAATCTGTAAATATATATGATGATAAAAATTTCTAACTTAATAATACTTAAAATTTTTGAGAAGAATGATATAAATAGTATTTAAGAATATTATATGAATTATACTAATTGTGTTTGCTTATCAATATTACATAAACAGAATTGAATTTTTATTTTAAAAAGTGAAGTTAGAAATTAGAATACGATTAAAGTATACGATGTATAAAAATATGACGAATATTACATTATTTTTATAGCAATTTTAGACTTGAATTTTAGTACTTGATAAAATTATTATTTATATTTGAAACGTACAATAAATATTTTTATTTGTTTTCAAATAATTATAACACCATATTTTTTAGTGAATTTGTGACACAATCGTATAATACAATATTTATTTTAGTCTATATGTGACAATCACTGTCTGCATTATAGGTGCACCCACGTCGCCGTCATCCTGACCTGCCCGAGAAATCCTCATGAAAGACTGGGAACTCAGTACTCAGAATAGCATCGGTATCGTAGACATTTCTTTTTTTATTTTTTCTCCTTAAATGGCTCGCTTCAATCGGGTCTTCTTTTTCGGAATAAGTTGTACTCTCTTTTTCTCTCTTTCTTATCTTTTGCATCTGTTTTCTTAATTAGATACTGGGTAAAATATGGTGATGGTGATATAACAAACGCTACTAAGATTTTTTTAATTAGCGGTAACGTAATTATAATACGGTGAAGAGTGAAACAACAGCTATATGATGCTATAATTTTTATCTTACTGTATAATATAATTTTGCTAAATAATTGTATCGTCTCTCTTTTTTATTTTCAAAATAAAAGACATGAAAATATTTCTTCAAATCAAAATATTGAAAACCGGTATACGCTTATTTTCTATTACATAAAACTCATTGGAATCGAGACACGTTCGCAGAATCTGCTGATCACCTTAACCGCGTGCGATCCTCTCGATACATAATTGCCGTGCAACTCCTTTTTTATTGTTTTCTCGATAATCGCGAGGAAGTTATATCGCGGACCAATAACTGCTGTCCCTTCGTAGAATCCACGAATCCTTCTCCGTGCTCCTGGCCCCCGCCCCCGCCGTTGCTGCCTCTGCGTCGAGAATAGCCGCAACCGCGAATTACTTCGCAATTTCCCGAAATTGCGCAATCCGTGCGGGCTAATGGCCGCCGGGCCGCCACAGCGGCGAGGAACCGGGAACAGGTGGGAGAGGTGGAGGGGAACGAGGAAGGGGGAGGCACGGAGGAAGGGCGGTAGCCGACGAGGAGACCATTAATTAAGCAAAATCATAAACTCGGCCCCGCCGAGCGTATGCGCACTCGCGCGCGAGTCGTGCATTGAAAAATATAAACGCGCCGCGACCCGTTACTTTCACGAACGAGGAGCCGCTGCCCTCGCTGCTCTCTTCGCTAATCGTTACCGAGCTCTCCTCTCTGTTGCGGTTTATATCGGAGAGAAGGAGAGAGAGATATATTGTCGGCGACACGCTCCAGGAGGCAATTGGGGTTGAATCATTCGGCTAAATCGTCCAATGGTACCGTTAGCGTTCGCTTCTCCGCCGCGATTATCGTAAAATTGTGTTAACCTGGGCCGAGCGGTCGCAATTCGCGAAAAATCGCGCTACTTACGTTACGTTTAATTCTCTCCTGAGGGTTCTGTCGAATTAAAATTGTAAATTTATTAGAATATTTAATTAAGATTTAAGAAAGATTTTTTTTCTCATATTCTTTTTGTTTTCTTTATAATATATTCATTGGTCAAATTGATTGCATTGTTCCCCGAGCAAAAGTTTTATTAAGTGTCATTTTTTTTGCATTCAAGATTTAATTTAAAATATATTTATAAAGAGAGCATTAATCTTTTAAATAAAAATTCGATTGAAGTAAAATCTATTCGCTATAAAAACTCATTCACTTCTCAAGTTTGTATAATCTGTATATCTTTTTTTAAATTTCTATTTATAAATATTCAAATGTTATTAATATCTTGATAGATTGGAGCGAAAATTAACTTTGATTAATCAAAAAAAAGTTACGAGAAAATTTTTATATTAAATTATGTCCGATTATATTTCTTATCTTTATATTTTTTTAAAAATAAAAAAGAGGATATATTTTCATTATATAAATGTTACTTAATCTGAACTTTATGAAATAGGTTCACGTGTGACCTGTTTATATTTTTAGCAGGTTAAATTTAGTATACAGGTTTTGCGCATTGTTGCGCAAGCGGCACTAAAATGTCCAAACCCGATTATATCCATGCTGTAATATGATAACTAAACGAAAGACATTTTTCATGATTATAGCAGGTTTTGTAGAAATTATGAAATATTTTGCTTGAAGAGTAAAGCAATTAATTATTTAGGGCGGCCTCTCTTATGCGTATTTCTTAGGGAAAAAAACCGTATATCAAATAATTAAAAGTGGCAGGTAAATGTCACCGCGCAATCGTGTGATAAATTTGCACAAACTCTGACGCAACTAAACAAGATTTTAATGGCGCTAATGGCCATCGGATTTGTCGACGGTGCTCGCTTCGGTAACGACACGATAAGCCTCGTTGCGAAACACACTCGAAACAGGTAAATTGATCCGAACGTATCGACGTACGTTTCACACCACTATGATACGTAGTGTGCCTTTATGGCGCGTTACAACGCGAATGCATGCAAAAGAGATATAATCTGACGGAATATTTTATACTTTAGTTTTATAAAAAAATTACAAAAATCTTTTAATAGTCCTATAATGTCCAAGACAAATTTATGTAACGTTTGTTAAATAATTAGAGAGCATTAGAGACATAAAGGAGAAAAAGAGAGAGAAAATTTTAGAAAATTTAAATTTGATAATAAATATTTACATAAATAAATATTTACATTATCTTTTACACAGCATGGATTATTTTGTCATGTATTGTAAAGAATACATTTTTAAGCAATACACGCTTTGAATTTTGTAGCGCTTTTTTTTGATTCCTGAGCATATATGATTTTTAAATATCATAATTTTTATATTTACTTGTATCATCATTTCGTTATATCCTACTTGCGTATTTTTTATTTATATTCGCTTATTATGTTAATATTTTAGATTATTATTTAGTTTCACTAAAAATTTCGAAATAAGTGCAACGATGCTTTACGAATTTCTAACTCATTATTAATTGTAAGATAAACTTGTTGATTATTTACTTCAACATCGTGATAAAATCAAGTATCTTGAATATTTTATTAAGTATTTATTATTAAAAATAAAGGATAAATATTTAAATAAATGCATAGGAGATTTCACGCTTTTACTTTATAATAAAGTATAAAACTATAAAATACATGATTTAATAACTTTCTGCACAAAAGAAAGAAAATAGAATAAATGAATTCGATATATTTGCATATTTAAATCTCTAAGTTGAATGTTTAATCATGAAAAGTATGAAAAGTCATTGAAAACATAATCTTGAAAACATATGTTAGATTAAAATTATTGGGTCCAAGTCTCTTTTTTTAAAAATTTCAGTTTAATATTTTCAGTTTAATATTTTCAGTTTAAAATCGCATCTCTGGAAAAAAGAGCGCCACAAAATTTAAAGCGTATTATTTGAGAATGTACTCTTTACAATATATATAAAAAGGAAAATATAAGTGTTGTGTAAATTAATATTAACATTTATCAGATTTTTAACTCTAAGTTTTAAGAAACATTTATATCTACTAATTTTTTTCTTTAATTTCTTATTCTATACATGCATTTCATGTACGATGTATAAAGATTATCAATATAGCTCCTTTATAAATTGTATATATTTTTTACAAACAAAAGCTATTTTAAATATTAGCAATATTTTAAGAGAAAAGAGAAGTTTTTTGCAAATCCAAAATGGTTTCTTTGCAAAACCATTTGCATCTGCTGAAGAATTGAATACACCGATGAATGTAAAGTAAAAATAAAATAGAGCGCGATGCTACAATAGCGGGGTGTTACGACGAGGCGAGGTTTTGTCGCACAAAAACGTGGGACCCGCTGTTTAAAACAAGGCACGGTAAAATCGATTTTCCACGGTATAGTTTTAACTTCGAACGGCGGCATCTCGACGATTGTGCAAAATCCAGCTCGTGCACGGTGCATATGTATATATCGGGAATAGGTTCACATATATATCGCTCGACGATGTGACGTTGTATAGTACGTGCAGGAGAGCCGGGCCTCGAGGTGTATCGAGGTCGACCGGTTCTCCAGCAGCCGTCAGTCGTTAAGGGACATTGCGACACACGTGGTTGCGCGCGCGTGGTTGTCCCTCTCGTCTCTCCATCTCCCGTTCTCTTCCTCTTTCTCTTTTCCTTCTCGCCGCCGCGAGAACGAAAACTTTAGCAAATATAATTGCAAATAAATTGTTGTAGCCACGTACATCACGTCAGGTAATCGGGACGTTCCTTCCTCGAGACGGTAAACTGCGATTGATCCTTTGTGATCCTGTAATCAAGTACATATCTTTGATATTTTTGATAGACCATTGTGTGATTAACGCCGCTATTTTATTATTTTTTTTTAAATTTAAATCGTGTGAGATCGATGCTGCGGTTTACTTCACGTCGACAATGTTGTTAGTATTGACAATGTTGTTACTATTATTTTTAAAGCCTTGGAATAGTGGACCTTCGCGCATTCTTCGTAGTAAATGATATTCTGTAGTTTATTACGCATCGCATTGCCAGGCGGCGAAACGTCTTCGTCGTAGATCTTTCAGTGGTGCGCGAATGAAGATGAAACCGGAGTAAATGAGCGCGGGCGGGTATTTTTCTTGGCAGCGGTTCCCAATTTTACGTCCAACCTCGCGACGTCTTTAAAACCCTTGCTTCCCTAACTCAAAATGAGCGAGACCAGAGCAGTGTTATTTGTATATGATTATTTGTATATTTGTTTAAATCATATTTATTTCTGATACTTTTTGTCGTAAAATAAAATCTAAAAGCCCATTTATTTGCATAAAACCACTTTAAATTTACAGAGAATGAAAGGAAAAAGGCGAAGACATGCAACTGCGAGTTCGTGATTTCGATACTTTTCAGACGCGCTTGAGTCGATGGTAAGAGTCTGATCATAAAACTCGGAAAACACTCGCACTGATCGGCCGATACGCGCAGCAATTTAATTTAAGATTATATCAGCTGTGCGAAAAAATATGAAAAAAACGATGCGGAAGGTAAATGGCCAGGGTAAATAATAAATTATTAAGAATTGTATTGCAATAGATATGTGTGTGTGGTATGTGATCTACACCTGGCGATTAAACAAGACAATTAAGCGCTTTCAATGGAAGGATAAGAACGCGCCGCTGGTTCCTAGAGAAAATAAAAATTTAATTGAAAAGCCTGAACCGTGTAGAAAAATCGGAATAGATAACGTGTGGGAATAATCTCCCTTCTTTGTTCGATTCATTTTTATGAATTCGTAAATACCATTATAAAGGGGGCTCTCCTTTGTACAAAACAAAAA